GACAAGTGGCAGTTCACCAGTGAAGAGGACTCAGAGGTAGGGAGAGCATGCCCAACCCAGCACATCCATGCTACTGTGTCCATGAACTGAGAAGCAGCTAGTACTGTACACGCTGCCTCAGCATTTCTCCCTTTAACATTTTAAAACTCTTCAATTAGGTATATCTCTCCATTCAAACCCCCTACTCTCCCAGTCCATAAGATCTAAAAGGGCCCAGATCACGTTCATCTTGTTTATTGTTTTTAATATTAAAGAGACTTGCAAAGGTCCTGTCACATGGCGTCTCAATAAATATGTATTTAAAATAACCAAATGAGAGTTATCCATGACCTTCTAATTATCAAATCCAATTTTTTTTTATTATTTATTTATCTTTAGAGGGGAAGTGGGGGAAGGAGAGAGGGAGAGAAACATCAATGTATTCCCCCCCTCACTCCTCAGAAACATCCACTACTACACCAAGGGCTCAAATCCAATTTTTAAATTCTTATCCAATTGTATCTATCAGTGTCATTAAATCAGTTGACCACTACTTCCTTCTGACCTTTCATATACTCTGGCTTTAACAGCACCCCTCTTCTAGGTACTCCTCTTATCTCCCTTAGGTCCCAATTTTGCCATCTGTCCCTAATTCCACTCACAGCTCACCACTTTGAATATACTCTTCAGGTCATCTCTTCCATACCCCAGTGGTTTCAACTTTCATCAATAAGATCTCTCTCCTTAATTTCCACTGTGGACCTGGCTCCTGAGCTGCAGATGGTTTGCTGGCCATCCATATCTATAGGCCTTAAAGCCATTTCAAACTCAAATAAGAAAAACCCAATCCATCATTATTCCATGTCCTCCTGCCCCAACAACAACAAAATAAAACTAGGTCCATCTCCATATTTCATCTCAGTCTGTGGTATCTCCAACCATTTGGACACCCAGGCCAGGTATCTGGTGGATATACTGCTTTTATTTCTCATGTCCAAGGTCAGACAGTTTTAGGCCCAAGATATTTATCTAATCCTTCTCCTCTTCAGCTGTTTGACCAGTAGCTTAGCTCATACTGTCATCATTTTCCTCTAGATGTCTACAACTATGTTCACATAATCAACAACAACCAGCCTGAAATATAAATCTATACCACCATCCCCCTGTTTACAGCTTTTCAGTTTGGAAGATAAAATCCTTGTTTCTTAATGTTGCATGCAAAGCTCAGACTTGTCTCCTTGTGTAGCCCCACCTTTCACCACTTCTCTCTGTGAACCTTACTCTAAGGGAACCACAAAGTACTTGTGCCTATTTTCCACAGCGCACACTTCCTGGCTCTGTGCCCTTGTACTTTTCATTGTAATACTCCTGTTCCTGGACACTGTCACCATCGATCATGCCAAAATCTGTACAATGATCTTTAACAACCCAGCTCTTTCTGGATTCCCTGAAATAAATGAGATGTCCCTTTCATCATGAACTGCCTTGCTCTTTGCAAAGCCCTAATGAAGTACAACAGTGTTTTATCATTGTGAGTGTAACTGCTGTGTCTCCCCTTCTGTGAGAGTCATGAGAAAAAGGACCGTGTTTAAAGAGCACATAATGGATTCTCACTAAAAGTCCAAGTAAGGAGGAAAGAAAAATGACATTCGTTCATTCAAGAATTTTCCATTTAGTGCTACACAGGACCCAGCACTGCTCTAAATGCTGAAGCTACTTTAAGGACCAAGATAGGTCAAAATCCTTGCTTTCAGGCTATAAAATATACCCACTGTTTTAACAGTGATATGTAGTGTAATATTGTGCCATGGAGAAGCAATAGAGCATGTAAGGGCATATTATCAACTAAGGTAAGGGAAGGTGGTTACTGAGACGCTGAATTTTGTTTAAAGACGTGACAGTGTGGTCTGGCCACTGAGACATCTAAGAAAAGAATATTCCAGGAAAAGGGAAGAGCAAGTATGGAGACCCTGGGAAGGGAACACGCCTGATGTTTCTGAAGTGCAGCAAGGAGGCCAGCATGGCTGGAGGAGGACGAAGGAAGCAGAAGGTGATTTCAGGGACATAATGGTGTTGAGGCGTGTCCACGGTGTGACCTTGTGGGGCTGTCTAAGCTTCTGGCACCTCTGGCCACACTGGAAGAAGAGTTATCTTGGGCTACATATTAAATATATTGTGACACATAATCACAAAAAAATCTCATAATGTTTTAAGTAAATTTACACTTTTGTGTTGAGCCCCATTCATAGCCATCCTGAGCTGCATGTGGCCCGAGGGTCTTGTGTTGGACATCCCTGCCTCATAGGGTCATTATAAGAAACAACTTCAGCTTTGTGTGAGGTGGGAGCCATGGAAGGTTTTGAGAGAGGGTGATATAATCTGCCTTATGTTTAACAGCCTCACTTCTGCGTTAAGAACATTGTGAAGAGTAAGAAAACAGTCAGGACACCATTGCAAAAACCTTAGAGAGAGAAAGATGATGATGACCTGTAACTGGATTAATGACAGGGGGTGCTGACATGTGGTCAGACCCTGAAGACATCTCAAGGTACAATCTGTAAAACTTCTGTGAAAAACAATCTGTAAAGCTAGAGCATTGGACTTGCTATTTACCGAGATGGGGAAATGAAGAGAAGAACCTTTTGGGAGAGGAGAATACACAGTGTCAGAGAAGCCTATTAATTAAGGTAAATGAAGACACCGAGCAGGCATTTGGGAACTCGCCTTTCCTCCCGGACCCCAAACCTTTGTTCTGTTATTGACTGCTGCCACCAGTAAAACTTGCACCCTGTTTTAAGTTCTAAGCTGAGTTTGCTACAGAAACAAAAACAACTCTTAAAAACTGAAATGAAAATAAAAATAAATAGATCCAAGAGAGCTTTAGGTCCTTTAGCAAAACTGGCCCCACTTGTACTCATATGCAAACATTCCCCTGTCCACACTTCTCACTGGACTTCATCCCTCTCCAAGCTTTCATCTGTAACTGAGGTTCTCCATACGGGCTCTCAGCCAGTGGGAATGTCTCAGAACTTTACTTTGGTAGGGGGATGTTTTGTTGTCACAAAGGTGGCCGATGCTGGCATTTATGGCTGTTCTGCAAAGCTGGGGCCATCTTGCATGTATTTTTCTAATGCATTAGACATTCGTGTAGGTGAAAACCTGTTTCTAAATATGTGGTCATAGAACTCAGTTTCATTTTACATATAAGTGCAAAATAATGTTTGCATGGTTTTAATAGATAATGGATTATTTTTTTAGTTATATAATTACTGAGCAAAATGAGAATAGGTCAATTGTTTTAGAATTTAATCTTATTTTGTGTATCACCCCAAAATAAGTTTCATGGTTTTTATATATATTGACTTTTCTAGGACTATAATTACATAAATTCATAAGCATATGTACAGATATACTTATTTTGTATTCATTTAAAAATGGCAATTATATTGGATAGGTATTAATAACATTTCAGCTTCATTTAAAGTTTCTTAAATCCAGGTTTCTTAAACCCGAAGTTATGCTTTACAAATAGCTGCAAAAAATTGACCTCTTTATATCTTTTAATGTCTTGATACCTAAGCATTTATATGTTGAAATATATGTAATTTCATTATAATAGTTTCGCTTATTTCTATTTTACATTATATTAGGACAATATATTAATTTTTAAATAAAATGATATATGTAGTCACATTTTCATTTAATCTTGGGATAGTTAACAAATTTTATAGTTATTTTTTATAAAAATAGGGCATTGGATGCAATACAATTTATATCTTAGAAAGTATCTGCCATTAAATAATCAAGCTCTCCCTCACAACTAAGGTCTAGACTTTTTGGCACACTAACAAAACAGTAGGCGTGATAACCACTATTCCAAAAGCAGTGACTTCACGCAGTGTGGAGAGTGAAAATGGGTAATCGGCGGTGAAGGTGAAGTTATTTTACTTCCCGAACGGGCACTCTTTGGAAGCAGTCACGGGCCCCCCCCCATCTGCTTTGGCAGTGGTGTGTGTGGGGCTGGGGAACTGTGGAGTGTCTCTGAGGTCGAACCAGCACCCTCCAAGTTCTTCAACAACCACAGTCGACACAGCTGCAGCTCGGCTATAAGAGCCCACAGACGTGGCTTTTGTGCTAATTTTATGTGAAAAGCAGCATATTAAGCATTCTCTGAAAATACATTCTTGTCCACAGCCTCCTATTACAGGATTTAAGGTAATAAAATACCTAAAGGGAAATATAACAAGTAAATCTCCTTAACTCCAGTATTACAATGAATATTGATGAACATAGTTCACTTTCCCCTATTACTTAACTTTTCTGAGACTGTTTCTACAACTTGAGATGGCAACCGTTCCCCTTTCCCCACGACATTCCTTTGAAAAATTAAATGAGATAACAAATGTAACTTACATGCTGCATTACTATGTTTCACCAAAAGATATTGAATAACTAAAATCTGGAAAGCACATTGAACTTAGCATCTTAAAGCTGGAATTGGTAAAATTCCTAAGTACTGATTTTAACTCTTAGCTTCTAACTCACCAAATTTACGAAAAGCAAATACTCAGTTCCCTGTGATCCTGAAGTGACAGCGATGGCAGCAGGAAAGACGGACGAGCAAAGGCCTACAGGGGTCAGAGCCTGCCTAATGGAGGAGTGATTATAATACATGAGGCAAACTGGAAACAGTATTTTCATGTTGTTTGCATAATAGCTTTACCCAGTGCACACATCTCCACTTTTCAATGCAAATTTGGAAGTTTAAAATCAGTATTCATACGCAGCCTTCCTCAATTTTGAAATGCATTGCAAATAAGAATATATACTGTTCATATATAAAAATGTCAGTTTAGTTATGTAACATAATTGTTCTTCTAAAATGAAACAGCAAATATTCTTTTTCTCCATACCTGCAGCAATAAAGTTACACATACAATTCCCTTCAGTATTGTAATGATAGTATTCAGTGATATCCAGATGCACATGGTTCTCTCCTTTCCTCCTAGAGGTTATCTCACCTTGCACTTTGGACACTTCTGGGCATTCCTCTGCCCATGCTCAATTTCGCTGGCCCAGTGACGCAATAGCTTGTCTCCCTTTTTGTACTCCTTGCAGTTAACACCTTCATGCCAAGGAGAGTGGCACTTAAAACACCAGACGAATTGGCAAGTGGGGCACTGGATCTGTGAAAGGAAAAGTAGGATTAAGTACTAGTAGAAACACTAAAAGTGTCTAAAGGATAAAAATGGTGATGGTTGGGGAAATTGCGGTAGCTAAAAAGTTACCAATTGTTCAGAGTTAAAGTATCTTCCCTCTACAAGATGTAAATGACAGTAAAATATGACTATTTTATTACTGAAAGAGGAAAGAAGTGCTTTGCCATAGATGATTTGGCTGTATGAGATACATAAATTATGCTATAGTAAAGTACGCTATACTATGTTATACTTAGCTATAAGTTATGCTATACTTTGTATGCTATGCTAAAATTAAACACTTAGGACATCCTGGAAATCAATTTGGTCTTAAGGCTTTCCCCTAGACTGAAACACAGAATAAAACCTGAAGGTTCACGATGCCCCAACTCCACACACTCAGGCTGCCCTTAAATTTGTCTTTCTCTTGACCCAATTTCCCAGGCACTTCCATTGCACTTCTTGTCAATGGCTTCATTGACTTTTATAAAAATCAGAACCTCACAGATGCTTCAACAAATAAAAAAGCACTGAGAACAAACTGCTATACCATCATCTACCACGAAGCTCTGCCTAAAATAATGGACAATCCTTTTTTAATTATAAAAAAATAACACAAATGGTCTTATTAGAAATATATCAGTCTTGAGGGTTCTGTGGCCTGTTAGCTAGGAAACCATCAGAAAGATGTCTTTGTATTTTCATCGTGTGGCAGTACATGTGACAGTGTGTGTGCGTTCACTGAAAATATGTCTTCCACGTGACATGGAAGACTTTATCTGACTTCCTTTCCTTTGAATGACAGTGGGTATCTCCTTCTCACACAGTGTTTCTGGTCCTCACCCTCTGAAGACATATGAACATAACCTGACTTTCCTAGACCCGTTTGATTACAGTGACTTAATGAAATGTCTAACTATGAACAATACTGATAACTGACTAGTCTTCTCTGAGCTCCTGCATATGAACTACTTCACTGTAACATACGTGCATTTACTGACTACACTTTTTGAAAATCGGTTAGAATTTCTTTCCGTAAGCTATACAAAATCATTACTTACTTTTTTTGAAAAACTACTCTTGACAATGGTGGTTCCAATATACACATTAATTGAGGGGCAATTATAACAATGACTCTTCCTTTTATAACTCAAAGCACTTCAGTTGTTACTATGTCATGAATACTGTTCTTCCCATGCAAATATGAAGTAACAAAAGTACTTGTCTTTTTGATTTATATCATAACAAAATAATTTTTGTCAGAAAAGTTAAAAATCTTCATGTTTTATTTACTTTTTGCCATTATGTCATATGGTAATGTTTATACTGTTGCAATACACACATTACTTAATATTATCACAAAATAATGTTGCAAAGTAGGTAAGAACACCACATGTTTACAGAAGGGGGAACACAGGGCTCAGAGATTAAATAGCTTGACCCAATTAATATAGCAAGTATGTGTTAAAAAGAAATGTCAACAAAATGTCTGGCTCCAAGGCTAGAATTTTTTTCACTGTGCCAAAACTGTTTCTCACACTAAACAGCATTCTTTCTTTGATGACTGAAAACCAAACTGTAGAAGTCAAAGGTCATGTGATTAAAGTATCCGGTAAGTAAGAATTTACCAGGATTACCAACATAAGGGGAAATTTAAAAATCTTTTCAAGATTTTTCTCACATAAATTAAGATAACCCTTGGACTTTTTAGAAAAAGAGATGTTACTAGTTAGTCACTTAACCACCTTTGACTTTTCTGATCATTAAAGTGTAAATAAGTCATATTTAAAGTAAGAGTTACAATGTGTGAGTTCCAGATGATAAAAGAATACAACATGATCATTTTCCTCTGTCACTGAACCACGAATATCTAAATATTACAAGGGGCCTGAATAAATTCAATTTTGAAATGTAATGAATGAAATGAGGAAGATATCGAAAGATTTTGCTTTTCCTCAAGTATCTGCGCCATTATGTCAGATGGGTCTAAATACTTAATTCAGTTCTGTTACACTAGACATTACTCATAATTATAAATCACTGGACTCTAACAGCATCAAATACAAATAACTTGCTGGTTTTAAATGTCAGTCTTAGATTACATTTATGAAATGAATAGAGGAATGAATGTAATGGCACTTTGAAACTGGGATTTAACTCTATGGAAGTTAGGCATTATAATGGTTCAAGAATATTTGGGACCGAGGGCTGAACTATCATATCTACAAATCTCTAATGAAGACAATTAGAAATGTATTATTCTCCTAAGGTCCCAGAATGATAAGGCATCGGACACTTGGTGCCAATACCAGGGACACTGGCTATTAAATGCTACTGCAGATCCTACTGCCAATCCTTGCCATTGACACAGACTTGATGACAAACCTGTCAAAGGAGTTCTGCTTTTATTTCTCAAGGAAGGATGAGTAATTCAAATTCAGGCTCTATTGTTTACTGTCTCTCACTGCAAATATTAAACTATTTCTTTGCTTTGAATTAAGAAATGAAGGGACTAATAGCCCACTTCCATCACTCTGTTATTCAGAGACTGCACCTGAATGGTCTAAATACCCACCTTTTGGTCTGAAGATGCCTTATGCATTCTGACCTTAACCATGTTCCAAACCGGCCTTACATAACACCCATGAAGGCATCACCACTGCATCTCCCTCCATTACTGCTTTGCACTTACTCCTCCATATGAAATGCCATCTCACAACTACAAATTCTCCACGGAGGGCCTGCCCTCTGAGCACTTCTATTCACACAGAGGTCACCATTGTCCATCTTTGCCGTGAAGGTGTAGTCTGGGGAGCAGCACCACCAGCATCACCTGGGAGCTTGCTGGAAACAAAGAATTGCGCCACACCCCAGACCTCCTGACTCAGAGCTGCATTTAGCGAGGTCCCCAATAGACACGCTGAATTTTGAGAAGCACTGCTCTGTACCATGTGACTCCATCTTAATGGCCACAACTAATCTACACCAGGAAGGAGCTCCTATGCCCAAAACAGGTGTCCAGTTGCTGGAAAGCAGCTTACAAGGTGGCTGCATGTGCTTTGTGTAGTTGGGCACCTACTGTTGAATAGATAGTAGCCAAGTTAGACATTTTTTCTTGAGGAGTAAAATGGTGATACACACACTCTACCTTCGCTGTGAAGGCAAAGACAGAGGACAGCTTAGTGACCATAGTGAAGATCACAGGAGAACGGGGAACAGCAGTCATGGCTAGTGAGGCAATAAAGGGGTCCTCATGCTACCACTGCCAGGGTCCAATTTTCTATGAGGTCTGCAGGGTGGTTGCTGAGACAGCTTTCCTGCCCTCCGGCTTCCTGTGGAGCCTTACAGTAAACCTCCTTAACTGACATAGCTTGAGAGAGGACATCTCTGCTTCTTGTAATTGGAGAAAGTCCAACGAACACAATCTGTCTACTGAAATCTTACCCGGATCAAATGCTGCTTGCTTCACGATGCCTTCCCTGCTCATACCAACCAGATTCGATATCTGTCTTACAGAATGTGTAGATGTCCAATCTCCCTAACGGCCTGCAAGTTCACTGAGGGTGAAGGCTGCGCCTCATTCATCCTGTATTTCTTGAGTTAAGCAGCACAGAGTTTCTGGCACATGGAAGGTGCTCAGTAAATTATACTGGCTACCATTGCAGGAATTCAAAGAAAAGCCAACACATCTAATTTATGAGCAGCGACTGAGATGATATTACTTCTTAAGTTAGCAGATGATGTTTACCAAATATTTTACTAACATGACATTTTACTGAGCATCATGATTAATGTGCAAACTCTTCTATAAGAGACAGGGATGAAAATGTTTCAAGAATAAAGTTATCAGAGTTAGGAATCTTAACTTGTCCCAGAATCCATGAAATGTAAAATAGCTTTATATTGTATTTTTAACTTTTGAATTCCTTTAGTTCTTCCAGAAATCTGGGCTACAATAACACTCAGATGACGGGTTAAACCAACTCACTTTACCTAAGCAAATGGTATTTTCTCTTGACAGTTCATCATGCCAAATAAAAAAATAACCCACAAAATAAAAAAATTTAAAGTCAAAGAGCACTTCAATTAAATCTTTCTGTGTCTAAATTCTATACACTCTTAATGTACACATTGGGTTGGCAAAAAAGTCTCTGTGGTTTTTTTTCTATAACATAGAAGACACATGTTTCATTTTCACCAATAATTTTACTGAATATGTTGAGTATGTTGGCTATCCCCGATGTGCTATAGCACTGATTGTTCTCAGTTAATGTCTTGATTTGACCACTACCAGTTTCAACTGGTCTACCCGATGGTGGAGCACTGTCCAGCGAGAAATCTCCAGCATGAAACTTTGCGAATCACTTTTGACACATTTGATCACTCACAGCACTTTCTCCATACATTGACAAATCTTTTTGCATTTCAGTTGCATTTTTACCTTCTTGAAATAATGAAACATAATATGCTGAAAATGTTCTGTATTTTCTTCTATCTTTAATATTAAAATAGCTACACAAAAATTCATTGATTTTGATGTTTTTTTTAATGCACACTGATATAGCAGCTGTCACAATAACAATCTAACAATGTTGTTTCAAGTGAAGTTAAAGACAACTAAGCACTACTAGAGACAACTTATGGGGAAAAATAAATGTTTTGGCCAACCCAAGCATTATTTTAAATAAATCACAAACTCACTGCCTATCAAACTCAAAATATTAGACAGCATTCACGTGTGAATTTAGCATTTCAAATATAAGCTAACCCAGTTTCCAAGAATAATTTGCTTTTTTAGAACTTCAGGCTAAGACAAATACTCAATAATAAGACATATTCATCAATTCACTTGCTTATAAGACAAATATTCATTGAGCATCTTCAAGCAACAGGTATACTAAGTATCCTGGTTTTAGACCCATAAAAATAATGTAAATACTTGTCCTCAAGGAATTTACTGAAGGGAGATAGACATAAGCTCAGAGAGG